GGGTCGAAAGATCCTATTCATGTAATCCATGAATACCGCAGGAGCATTCGTAAGTCCAAACGGGCATCACCATGAATTCATAATGCCCATATCTCGTCCGAAATGCTGTCTTAGGTATATCCTCTGCTCTCACTCTCAATTGGTGGTACCCTGACCTTAAGTCAATCTTTGAGAAAACTGCGGATCCCACAAGCTGATCCAGCAAATCATCGATTCTCGGAAGTGGATATTTGTTCTTGATGGTTACTTTGTTCAATTGTCTATAATCAATGCACAATCGGAGGCTTCCGTCCTTCTTCTTTACAAAAAGGACTGGAGATCCCCAGGTGTGAAACACTCGGTCTGATGAAACCCTTCTCAAGTAGCTCTTCAATTGCTTTTTCAGTTCCGCTAACTCTGAAGGGGACATCCGATAAGGAGCCTTAGAAATTGGCCCTGTACCGGGTACCAATTCAATTGAGAACTCTACCTCGCGCTTTGGGGGTAAACCGGAGACTTCGTCTGGAAATACATCCGCAAATTCTTTGACAATTGGGATATTCTTCACGCCTTCATCAATCTCAGCTTGGATAGAGAAGAAAACCATGTAGGCCTGGCAACCCTTCTTCATACATCTATCAACTTGCGCCGCCGACAAGAAAACATGATCTTGAGTCTCGACTGGGGTCACCGACAAAGAAGATAAAGACACACTCCTCTCTCTACAATCTAGGATAGCACCATTTGCAGCCATCCAATTCATTCCCACAATTACATCCATACCTCTCAGTGGTAGGATAATTAAGTCCATAGTTGTTTTCCTATTTTTAAACTCGACTACTAGGTTAAGGCATGCCTTAGCAGTCCTTACAGATTCTCCCGCAGGAGTAGACACATTCATATCAAAAGGTAAAATACACACAGGCAAATCAAGGTTCTTTACACAAGTTTCAGAAATAAAAGAGTGTGTAGCACCCGAATCAAATAGTGCAACAATATCATGATGAAGGATTTTGATGTTACCTCTAATGGCATCTGGGGAGTTCATGGTGTCCTGAGTAAGAGCAAACACACGGCCAGAGACAGTAGGATGTTGGGAAGGGTTCTTCATATTTGAGCCCTGGTTGTCCCCACAAAACTTTGCAATGTGACCGGGTTTCCCACAAATGTAACAGACCCAGCACTGTCCGAAATGACGACGCCCGCATTTAGTGCACTGTTGAGAGCTCGCTGTACTCGGGGCAGGTGGTAGATACTGTTGGGCTCCTCTGTGACCCGTGATAACTACTATGATAGCTCCTCTGTCCTTGGCCCCTTTGAAATGGACCCTTCTGCCTTCCTTGGTTCCATGAGCTACTCGAACCCTGATGGTTTTTCTTCATAATGCCTCCGGTGGGTCGAGGGTAGGTTGGGGGTCTACTATATGAATAACCCCTCTTCTCTCTCTCAACCTCCTTCTTACTGCGAGCTACTATTGTAGTTTTATGCACATTTCATCATAATCTCGGATATCTAGATGAGCCAATTGTTCCCTCAATTCTGGTCTAGCCTTCTCCAATAAGCGCTTAGCCTTCCATTCGGAATCATCCCTATACTGCAGGTACGTGGAGTATCTAGATAACTCCTGAAACTTAGCAATGAATGTGTCCTCATCGAGGTTCCCTTGCTTAAAGGCATGGAATTCCGCTTCCTTCTCAGACCTTAACTCTGATGGAAAGTAATGCCTGAATAATTTTTCCTTGAATTCCTCCCAGGTGAGTGTAGAATCATCCCTGGGCCCTGCTGTCTCCCACCAATCTCTTGCTCCTTTCACTAGGAGCACTAATGCTACTTGTACTTTTTGATTGCTGGTGCATGTGACTACTCGAAAGATGGATTCGAGTCTCTTCACCCATTCCTCTACCACGGATGGTTTAAGGTTACCATCAAACGTAGGAGGTTTTAAACTTCCTAACAGTTTCCCACACATCAGTAATGGTCGGTGGGGCTCTCTGTTCCTCCTGCCTAATTTCCTTCCTTCTAGACTCATGATCTCTCGGAGTGGCAGGATGTGAGGAACTGCCTTCCCCCACATGACTCTCAACATGAGCCCTATCTCCATTTTCAGTTACTTTTGCCTCTTTAGCTCCGTCAACTCTTGTTCGTATCCTTGAACCTTGTCTGTTAATGTTTTTACAAGCATTCTCAATTCCGCCAAGTCAGGCTCCTCATTTGGCAGTGGGGGGGGTGGTAGGGTGCTCATGTTGGAATCCTGAGTTACCACGAGTAACAGGCATTTTCTCTCCCCTCCTAAAGGATACCAGATATAAATAAAAAATTATTCAGCCTAGCTATATCATGCCATACAATGAGAAGCACCCA